TTTATAATCGAAGTGTCAAAAATCAGAACATTTATAGCTATTTATAGCTTTCGAATTCATGTACAGCAGAACTACTTTCCGGTTCTCATTCATTAATATGACACGCTGTGAATCACCGAAGGGGGAACCGATATAATAATCGGAATAAGTTATTGAATCCGATTTTTTAGCGGAGCAATAAATAAAGGCTATATGGGCAAAAATGTAAAAATCTATTTTAAGCACTGGTGACCATTACCCATCGGACCCCTGAATCCATCATAAGGAACAAGAGTTCTCAATTTAATTAAAGATTTTTGGAATATTTTATATTTATATTGTGGACTTAAGGTACTTTTAAATATATTTATTTTTATTTGTACATTTTTCTGAAATAAATTTTCCCATTATGTGTTGCTGGCTTTTTTCCTCGTATTGCCTGCCTTGTATCAACAGTAAATAAAAAATAAATAAGAAATAAATGATAAGGTAGAAGACAGATTTAAGAATAATAACTTAATAATTGATAATTTAAGCATCACAGATGTTGTTGAATGCATAATAAAGAATAAACTGAGTAAAGGAAATTGTTTTATAACAAGTACAATAAATTTTCAACATTATCACAATTTAGTGTAATCAATAAAAGTATACAATTCTAATGTTGAATTACAGCATAAAAAGCTAAAAATGTATGAGATAAGAAATAAATATTTGAGAACTTAATTGTACTAAAACATCAAGATCAATAAAATGAGCATGCATATACCGTCAGGAAAGACAATTCAAACTACACAAAGGTGATGCGTAACACAATTATAGTGAAGCACGGTAAAATTTTGCTCCGTGAAAACTCAGTTATTTTGCCAAGTCTAGTGATTATATGCATCTTCAAGCAAATGATTCTACCAAGGTACGTCTGAAAACACTTGAGTATCGTAGCATTAATGCAAAAGACATAACCAGACGTAATACCCTAATCTTTCGTGGAATACATGAGATGCAAACAACGGATGATTGTTTTAACCTCATAAATGCGTTTCTGAACGGAACGACAACCTACATATTGACACCGGTAGTATTTGTCTACTGTGCGCACTGACTCGACGCATTAGCTCAGGGTAAAACTAAAGTAAAAGTTTCTGTTTCAGAGATTGTCGGGATGTGGAAAACATTCCTTCCAATGTATACAAACTTAAATTTTGAATCAATTTTGGAATCAATAAAGACTATCTAAATGAAATAGTTCAGGCAAGATGCCGTACAATTTTGGCGATTTTGCTCTATTCCTACATATATTCGGAAGAAAATAAATATTGTTAGAATATTCAAATATATGCATCGCAATAACTCTTTTATGATGAAGGTTTGTACCTTTTTTCAACGATTTGTTTGTAAAAAATAGTTACAGGCAAGTTATAGAAATATGTATAAACCCTGGACCAGGTTACACCTAAGTGGTTATTGCGCGACACCGACTATTCATAATGATATTTTTTTTCTTATCTTGAAAACTGTTTTTGTATTGTCCAACTGGATGATTTCAATTTAACATGATAATCATGCAAATTAAAAAAAATAGCCCAAACCTTTATGTAGTTTTTATAAAACGTTTTAATGTTTAAAAAGTTATTTTCAATTCAATTACACAAGATTGGACAAACAGTTTGTAACGCCGTTATGCACCACAAACTGCGATCCCACTTCAATGTTCTTATTATCTTATATGATATCAACATTCCGATTATTTCACAATTCATGTGTTTAGATTATCAAAATGGAACACAGAAATAAAATGAAATTACAAATATTTACAGCAGTTTACCTCATCTTTTTTAGATTGTTTAAACAGTAAATATCAAAAGATTGTAAAAAAGGAACGCAAAAGTAAATTGTATGTACTTACGGCAGTTCCTTCTTTGAGCTCCGATAAATGAATTGAAGTGCGCACGGATAATAAAGCTTTATATACGATTTCATTCATATCATGTGACTAATTTTAATCATTTTAGGACGTAAAAATAAAAATATGGTTAATAGGAATAGTTTATAAACTTTCTTCTTCAAAATCCGTTAAAAATATTTCGTAACTTTAAAATGTTTGATCATACAAAGATTACATTAGAGATTTGTGCAAAGAGATGTGTTAAAAATGTATATCTAATGATTCAAATCTTAGTATAAGTTATCACAAAAACATTACATTTTTTTCATTTGAACTATCTCGTAAAAAAAAAATCTACTTGAAATTTTCACTATAACTCAAATTTAGATAACAACTCATTCATCCTTGAACCTTTTAAGGTAGTCATGTGCCTAGTGTGTTTATCTCTAGTAAATAATATCAGACAGTGCTTTTGTACCGAAATTGAATGTAAAAGCTCAACTTTAAGCCAGCTTCGTTTTGCAAAAAAGAAGCAACTCAAACTATTGTATTGCTTATTTCAGTTTAAACAACATAAAGATGCGCCAAATGAAACGTTGCACTGTAAGCGCTTCAATGAAAAAATACTTTTTTTACTTTAAACAGCCGTTATTTTGGATATGTGAAAAATATGATTTTTTTTTCGTGTAACTTCAATACTCGTTTTATTGAACTCGTTTAATATCTGCCTCTAATATTATTTTATTATCATTATTCATTATATCATGACATACTCTATCAGATATAACCGCCTCCGTGGTCGACGGGTTAGAGTCGATGACTTCTATTCCAGTTACCTCTCTGACGTGGGTTCGATCCCCGGGAGATGCATTGGTAGTTTAGCACGGAGGAAGGTAGCCTAGTACTGGTGTAACACTCCGGGAACGATGGTTAGGAAACTACCCGCCTATATGACTGAAATACTGTTGGGAAAAGGCGTAAAATGAAACAAACAAACTATCCGATATATTGATACACTTCTGTATTATTGGAATGCCATCTTACTAGTGACTGATCTCTGCTTTAATGTTATCGACATATTGTTACTCCCCGGGGTAAAAGGGATTGATAGCGAGATAATAGTAAGAAAAAGAGAATAGAGATCAACAAAGTAAAGGCAACGTTCACAGGACGCAGCCCCGACACATTCCAGTTACCATAGCAGGGCATTTAGAAGGCTCCGAACCCAGATCAGGAGAGGCAATAATTATACCCCAAACAGAATTTAAAGGGTGCCGTTTTATCAACAAAGACGGCCGTAACTGCGATCTTATCTTACATGTAACCGATACTTACGACCGAGCTTACGATTTCCACATTTCCGTTTTATGAACACGGTCGTACGCCCTCATTCGCAGCTAAGACCATTTTTGGTCGTACGACCGTATAAACAGTTACCATACAGTTGAAAGTACGTTTCCGGGTCACGTGATTTCCCGCGCACCTGTCATATAAACACGAAGTCCTTCATAAACAGAACGTCGAAGTAGCTTTAATACCTGCAATGCAATGGGGATGAGCAAAAAGGACATTTAATACGTTTTGTTTCCAAATTAACTCAATAATGCACAAAAAAATAAGTCTTTTTGAGTTAGAATGCCATTATATTTCTTTTCTAAAAGATTTAAAAAAATTGTTTACATGGGATACATTGTATATTGATCTTTATTTAATAAAAAACGGTAAATCATTGATAAAAACAAATAGATACTTATTTGCGGATCAAAATATAGAGATGCATCAAAAAGAGGACATAATATGAGCCGCGTCACGACAAAACCAACATATTGTGCTTGCGACTAGCATGGATCCAGACCAGCCTGCGCATCCGCGCAGTCTGATCAGGATCCATGTTGTTCGCTTACAGACCTATAACAAGTAAAGAAACTGATAGCGAACAGCATGGATCCTGATCAGACTGCGCAGATAAGAAGGCTGATCTGGATCTGGTCGCAAACCCATTATGTTGGTTTTGTCGTGACGCGGCTCATATATATCCGTCTACAAAACGATGTCAAATTTTTTAAATGCCCCCTGCGTGTCAGACACATGACTTCAAAAGAAAACTTAAGCGCCATTCTGATCATCCTTAAAAACGGCTAAGGATACAATTTAATATCACCAATGACTATGTAAATATATCCCTTACATCCCTTACCGCAGATCGGTAAGAATATTCTGAATAAAAGTCAAAGAACGTGAACGTATTCATCATTATGATCTGTCAACCGTGTAGTATCTTGTAAAAGCAAAAGGCTTCCAAAGCACAGCCACTGTTTTAAGATTTTTTTACTTGGAACAAAGCGCTGTTGATGCTTGAATACAGAGACACCCACCAAAGTTCAACCTGTCTGTGCATTCATGACATTGACGCTTGAATTAAAAAAAATGTACAGGGCTCTGAGGTAAAATGCTTAACAACAACTGCAAACATAAGAAGAGTCTTTTTTAGCAGTTTCAGCTAAGATTAAAGGAAAGTTGAAAACAATACTGGGCTCCTTCATATTTACTGGACAATCGGTTTACCGGACAAAATCTATTTCTGCCGAGTAGTTCTTTATTTTTTGCTTCGATTGAAAAAATCATCCGGTCTGAATCGTACACACTATTTCTATTTCAAAGTAAATAACAACAAAACCACTCTCAGGTAAATATTGTTGATTCAGTTTTTTATTTACTACCATTTCCATGTTTACTAGTAATTTCATGGCCTGGTCATGCGGGGAATAATCTGTTCTGCGCATGCCCGAATATTGAGGCCCTTAATGGTTATTTTAGATAAATTTCACTTTTAATTCTTCTCAACGTTATCTCAGGAGACAATCGTAACAGATTTTAATGATAAAAAGTAATTTTTAATTTATTCCAACAGTATGTCGTTGTTGTCTTTTACAAAGAAATGCAAATTAAAAAACATATAAGGAAACGGGTTACGCCCATGGAAGGAAACTCTACATGAAATGTAAATAAAAATATATTTTATGGCTTTTGTAACATGCTACATGATGACCAAAAGGGAACTTTATAACAAAGAACAAAATTCCATTTGAATATCCAAAGTATACATTCAGAAACAACTTAAAGACCTTAACCTATGTATAAAATTTGTTTATTTCAGTCTCTTTCATATGCATACATATATACATAAAACATACTAAAATTGATAAAAAAGTACATATTACCATTCTACAATAAAATTATAAGAGACTACATCATGTATCATTTTCCCTATACAATTGATAGTTAGTTCCTACTGATAACAGTAAAGCAAGATTATAAGAACGTTTACATCATAAAAGTTAGATTATCCCAACTGACCTTCAATAAAAGAAAAATAAACGAAGAAATGACTTTTAATGCTATCAGATATTTTGATAATAAATCTCTTGAGTGTTGTAAAAAGTGGCACTATTCCACAAATTAATTAAAAATATATCACCTGTGGTCAGACCATGGATGACTGGTCAGTGGTGATATTCTACATGTTAGTAGATAAAACATCATGTTTAAAACAGATATGTTACATTTGTACCATACAATTTCCTATCATCACATTTTTACAATAAAATTTACTCTTATGTAAATGTTTTCATTAATCATTAAGAGCATTCACATAAAGCTTCTTACATGCATTCAGGGTAATAATTGTAGATCACTGACTGTCCCTTTGTGACCATACTTAGGTGTTACTGTTATTCATGTGCATGGAGAAACAAAGTTATTATGGAATGTATTAAATTATACACAATGTACCTTATTCATATAAAGACCTTACAGATATTGGTAAATTGATGAAATGTTTAATAGTCTATATAACTTTCTTCTTTAGTTAGCTATCTTTAGGACTGACTTCTATGTCCTTTGTTGGCCATATAACAAGGTCACTACACTTTGCCCCTGTAAGGGAGAGCTGTCCCTGGATATTGATTCCAATCATAGGATTGTTTATCTGTAAACCTTCCATCATTTAGCAGTAATCTGAAACATTACAGAGAATAATCTGACTTAAAATCAAATAATTAACATTGCAATTAGATAAATATTTTTTTACAAACTAGCTCATATGAAATGTCATGAACAGATAAATATGAAAATGTATAATTCAAATGAAATCCCTATAAACTAAATGTGAATAGTTTTTATTCAATAATTCTGTATGTCTTTGAAAAATGTGAATTTGTCAGTCACAGTCATTGAGAAGTTCTTACTGTTGATTTTCATATATTCATCTATAGCTGTCAGTTACCTGACAGTGAAAGGTCATTTTACTTTTATATTATTGTTTCTAAAATAAGTTTGTCACTACTGACCCTGGTGGTATACAGCCTCATCGTTGTTAATGTCCTCTTTTACAAACACATTGATCAGCAGATGCACCAAGTACTAACTATTCATGCTGCCTTATATCTGTAAGGAAAATCAGATAAAAAATCAGATACAATTTCATAGACTCTATTATAGCATGTACATGTATAAACGAAAATCAAGTGATACCTGAAAAGAAGCATACTAGGATAATATCTACATAAACTTTAACAAACCTATGAGTAAATCTTATAATGATTCCCACAAATCTAACATTACTACAATATATAATACAATAGTATTTGTTTAAATGTGGAAACAAGACACTTAACCTCTGAAGACACTTCACACCCCAAAATCAGTAAGACACTTCACCCATCATCCCTGATTATTTCTAGAATAAATATTTCAACAACAAATAAACCTTTTGTTTGTTAATTTTCTTTTTTTAGTATTTTTTTTTTATAAAAATGTTAACTCAAGGCAATTTTCAATATTTTTAACACTGACAAGTTAACTTGCAACATGGAACTTTGATATATTACACCATTTTTTGAAACATTACATGAAAGACAATTTAAAGTATCAATGTGACATAAAAAAAAGAAACATCTGCTAAATAATTGTTGATAAAAAAATATTATGTGTGATTTTCAACATAACTATCAATGTACTGTCAATCTGGGACATACATGTATTTCCCAGTATCAATGTTAGAACAAATGAGGGATGAAAGATATATCTCATATCTAAGATAGTTAGTCACCCACTTTAAATGACTAATACAAAATATGTTATTTTAAATAGTTAAACTTATTTTGAAGTTTTAATGTGATATTTATATTTTAGAAAAAAATATAATGTACTTAACTGATTATCATTAATATCATATAAATATATTAGGGGAAAAGTAATATCTCTATTTTGAGTTGGTCAATACTTATTACAATTAACAAGAAATGTGTTAAAACAATGAATATTTTAATCAACATAATTGATTGCATTTCACATGTTCAACCATAATTTGTGTAAAGCACATATATATAACAACACATAACCAAAAAGGGAGGTGTAGTGCTTTAATCAGAGGGGTGAAGTGAACTCTAAAACCTCTAAAACTGTCTATATTTCAAACTCACAAGTTACTTGTCCTTTGTTTACAATCCTCTTATCATGTGATACACCAAATTGGATCTAAAGATACTCATTTCGCATACATGTGCATGCTTTACCAAACAACAGTGGTGCAGTTTCATATGCATTCCCATTACAGCACTGTACTGTAGGTTAACATAATGTTGCCATGTTGATTTCACATTATTAACACTTGTCTTTCACCTAGATACTGTAGCAACTTCATTGAAAGGTCTACAAAAGAACATACTTAACTAATTATAATAATCAAATTGGTTTTATAGCGTGACAATAAACACAATTGTTATTGACAATTGTAAGATCTATGTTCTGTCCGAAATCTGCACTATCCGAAATTTCTGTACTAAAATATTAAGAAAAGAAAAGTAGGAAACGGTACTCAGTATAGAAAATTGTAAGAATCATTTGCTTATCTGGTTACAGATGTGACAGGAGTTATATTAAACACACATATATACATTGGTTGTACCAAAATTAGAGTAATATAACTAACCATAGCTTCGTCGTGGAAATTATCCGGAGATTAATCTGGAAGTGATAGTTGCGTCCCTGGGATGTTAAAATAGATTTACAGTAGCACTGAACATAAACTTGTACGCGAAAAACTTACGTTTGTTGAAGACTTCTATTGTTCAATATTTGTGTTTGAAAGTTCCTATCGGGAATTATGCGAAAATGGCCGCCATTTTTAAGATCTTAAGCCTACCTAATACACTTGTTACTATATATAGTAACAAAATCGCCTATGATTTCAACTGATTATGAGTGTCACGTGACCTATTATGAATTTGCGGCCCGGGGCCGAGAACTAGTTATTAGCCCGCTGAACATGTGCACCTGCACAAACTGAAACAATGACGTCACATTTTATGAGAGCTGAAGCGTATTCCGTTAATACACAGTTTTATTAGTATTGAAATTTAAAGAAATAATGCGACAAATGTATTCCGTAAAAAAATGAAAATAAAACTTGCTTCTAGATTCTACAGTATTGTAGTGTACTTTGAACTTACAAAAAGTCAGCAACTCTGTAGAAGTTACTGTAGATCTACTGTACTGTGTACAGTAGAATTGCAAGAATTTCAACGAAAGAAATTTAAAAGTTTTTTTTTAGAAAGATGCTACTATTAGATCTACCAAGGTGCCGTTTTATCAACGATCGTACGCCCGGTCGTAGCTAAGATTTGGTCGTACGACCGATCTTACGGCTACGTCGCGTTTTATCAACATGGTCGTAGCTAAGACGTCGTAGATTAACGTCGTAACTTTAAGGCTGCTTCAGACCAGTCGTAAGTAGGCTAAAGATCTTAAAAATGGCGGCCATTTTTGCATAATTCCCGATAGGAACTTTCAAACACAAATATTTGAACAATTGAAGTTTTCAACTAACGTAGGTTTTCCGCGTACATGTTTATGTACAGTGCTGATCCTATTTAACATCCCAGGGACGCAACTATCACTTTCAGTTTAATCTCTGGATAATTTCCACAAAGAAGCTATGGTTAGTTATATTACTTTCATTTTAGTACAACCGACGTATATATGTGTGTTTAATATAACTCCTGTCACAGCTGTAGCCAGATTAGCAAATAATTCTTACAACATTCTATACCGTTTCCTACTTTTCTTTTCGAAATATTTTAGTACAGAAATTTCGGATAGTGCAGATTTCGGGCAGAACATAGATCTAACAATTGTCAATAATAATTGTGTAATTGTCAAGCTATAAAACCAATTTCATTGTTATAATAAGCTAAGTATCATCTTTTGTAGACCTTTCAATGAAGTTGCTACAGTATCTAGGTGAAAGACATGTGCTAATAATGTAAAATCAACATGGCAACATATGATGTTAACATAAAGTACAGTGCTGTAATGGGAATGCAAATGAAACTGGAGCACTGTTGTTTGCTAAAGCCAAAATCTGATTAAAGCACTACACCTCACCTTTTGGTTATGTGTTGTTATGTGCTTTACACAAATTAAGGTGGAACATGTGAAATGCAATTAATTATGGTGATTAAAATATTCATTGTTTTAACACATTTCTTGTTATATAATATGTATGGACCAAATCAAAATATTGTAGAGATATTCCTTTTCCCCTAATATATTTATATGGTATTAATGATAATCAGTTAAGTACTTTATATTTTTTTCTAAAATATAATTATCAGTCATTAAAACTTCAAAATAAGTTTGGCTATTTAAAATAACTTATTTTGTATTAGTCATTTAAAGTGGGTGACCTACTATCTTAGATATGAGATATCTCTTTCACCCCTCATTTGTTCTAACATTGATACTGGAAAAAACATGTATGTCCCAGTTTGACAGTACATTGATAGTTATGTTGAAAATCACACATAATATTTTTTATCAACAATTATATAGCAGATTTTTCTTTAATTTCATGTCACATTGATACTTAAAAATTGTCTTTCATGTAATGTTTCAGAAAATGATGTAATATATCAAAGTTCCATGTTGTAAGTTGACTTGTCAGTGTTAAAAATTTTGAAAATTGCCTTGAGTTAAACATTTTCTAAAAAAAATACTAAAAAAAGAAAATTAACAAACAAAAGGTTTATTTGTTGATGAAATATTTATTCTAGAAATAATCAGGGATGATGGGTGAAGTGTCTTAATGATTTTGGGATGTGAAGTGTCTTCAGATGTTAAGTGTCTTGTTTCCACATTTAAACAAATACTATTGTAATATATTGTAGTAATGTTAGATTTGTGGAAATCATTATCATATTTACTCATAGGTTTGTTAAAGTTTATGTAGATATTATCCTAGTAGGCTTCTTTTCAGGTATCACTTGATTTTCTTTTATACATGTACATGCTATATAGAGTCTATGAAATTGTAGCTGAATTTTTATCTGATTTTCCTTACAGATATAAGGCAGCATGAATAGTTAGTACTTGGTGCATCTGCTGATCAATGTGTTTGTAAAAGAGATGAGGCTGTATATCACCAGGGTCAGTAGTGGGACAAACTTATTTTAGAAACAGTATTACAAAAGAAAATTACCTTACACTGTCAGAAAACTGACAGTTATAGAGGAATATCAAAAAAATTCAACAGTAAGAACCTATTTAAAAGCTCAATGGCTGTGACTGACAAATATTATTACAAAGACATACCGAATTATTGAATAAAAACTATTAACATTTAGTTATAAGGATTTCATTTGAATTATAAATTTTCATATTTATCTGTTCTTGACATTTCATATGAGATAGTTTGTAAAAAAATATTGTATCAAATTACAATGTTTATTATTTGATTTTAAGTCAGTTTATTCTCTGTAATGTTTCAGATTACTGCTGAATTATGGAAGGTTTACAGCTAAACAATCCTATGGTTGGAATCAATATCCAAGGACAGCTTTCCCTTAAAGGGGCCAAGTGTTGTGACCTTGTTATATGGCCAACAAAGGACATAAAAGTCAGTCCTAAAGATAGCTAAGAAGAAAGTTATATAGACTATTAAACATTTCATCAATTTATATTGAATAAAGTAGGTTATGTATAATTTCATACATTCCATAAAAACTTTGTTTCTACATGCACATGAATAAAAATAACACTTGAGTATGGTCACAAAGGGATAGTCAGTGATCTACAATTATTATCCTGGATGCATGTAGGATGCTTTATGTGAATGCTTGTTTTATTAATGATTAATGAAAACATATACATAGGTTAAAGTCTTTTAGTTGTTTCTGAGTGTATACCTTGGATGGTACATGTTTGTACTGACTGTATATTCACTTGTCTTAAGTGTATTAATGTATGTCAAAATGAAATATTTATATTTCATGAAGTGATAACTTTACTGAATCATTCTCTTGAATACATGTAACATTATGAAATGTTTGATTCATGTTCAAAACTTGAAAGGAATACACAGCAAAATGATGTACTTCTCTGTATAGTGACTACAAAAACAAAGATTTGTGTGTTACAATTCATCTGAAAGTAAAATGACATGAGATAAATCAAAGTAACATACACACATGTGTTTATATTGATATTTATTGATTTTTTGTTACATGAATGTATTAAAAATTGTTGGGATGAATATTAAAAACACAAAGAAAATAACACAAAAGGGACAATAATGAAAATAAACAATCTTAATGTAAATCTGTGAAACTTTCTACAGAATTCCCTGGAAGTGACATTTTATATTTAATGTGCTAAATTTATTATTTGTCTTAACTGCTCTTGTCTGAATAGTGTCTTAACTGCTCTTGTCTGAATAGTACCCTGTGTCTGTTAAAACATATTGTTTTTATATTGTTATCTAGTTTCAAGACTGTTTTCTAGCAGATATGTACATAAATTCTAAACAGGTATTATTAAAAATTAATATGAATTAGAATATTGTAACATGTCATTTCAATGTCATAATTTTCTTTGCAATATGTATTCATTGTCATACTGGAATAATAATAATAATAACTAGAAATGTGTCATCATGCCACGGATGCCCCCGCATGCAGCCAAAATTTCAGATGGTGCTTTAATTATTTTTTTCATTTTAAGTTCAAAGCCCTTAAAACTTTTCAATGTTAACACAAACCATTTTCATACAATGTTCAAGGCACTGAAATTATTCAGTCTAAACCTTTTAAAAATAGCATATTGCATATTTGTAGCCAAAATAATGGCTAAAAGTAAGAGTGCTGAAAGTGAAAGTTCAAAATGTTTCCAACATTCAGGAAAGATAAGTTTGTCTTAAATCATTGAACTACAACCAAATTCAAACTTAAACTGCTTATTCCTAAGATGTATCTATATTATTTTCAAAGTGAAAGGGACATAACTCTTCCAAAAAATCATCAAACCATGACCAAATTCCAACTTGACCTGCCCATTCCTTTGACATATCCATATGTCAAATTTAATATGAATATGTAACACTGTTGGGTAGATAATGAACAGAAACTGTAAATTTCATATTATTTTCAAAGTGAAAGGGGCATTACTCTGCCAAAAATCATTGAACCATGACCAAATTTGAACTTGACCTGCACATTCCTTTGACGCATCTATATGTCAAGTTTGAGTTGAATGTGTTGTACCTTTATGGAGATAATGAACGGAAGCTGAAAATTTCATATTATTTTCAAAGTAAAAGGGGCATAACTCTGCCAAAAATCATTGAACCACAACCAAATTCGAACTTGACCTGTATTTTCTCATGACATATCCATATGTCAAGTTTGAGTTGAATGTGTTGTACCTTTGAGGAGATAATGAACGGAAACTGAAAATTTCATATTATTTTCAAAGTAAAAGGGGCATAACTCTGCCAAAAATCATCGAACCATGACCAAATTCGAACTTGACCTGTATTTTCTCATGACATATCCATATGTCAAGTTTGAGTTGACTGTGTTGTACCGTTGGGGAGATAATGAACGGAAACTGAAATTTCATATTATTTTCAAAGTAAAAGGGGCATAAATCTGCCAAAAATCATCGAACCATGACCAAATTCGAACTTGACCTGTATTTTCTCATGACATATCCATATGTCAAATTTGAGTTGAATGTGTGCAACCGTTCTTAAGATAATGAACGGAAACTGATGATGACGGAATGACAGAAGGACGGAAGGATGGAAGGACGGAAGGACGGAATGACGGAACAGGGTAACACTATATGCCCCGGCCATTACATGGCGGGGGCATAAAAATTCCTTTGTCACATGATTATAATTTGGATAGTACATTTGTCAATCAAAAACTGTTCAAGCATATCTTAAATGTAGTTACTCAAGTCATATAACAGTATATCCCAAAAGATTATAATGAAAGTGGGAGGTGACAATTGAAGAGTCACAGCTCGTTAATTTCAATAGAAAAAAACCTTGGTCAATGTTTTGATAGTCCAGCACTCAATTCAATATACCTGCATAAAAGACATTGTGTTTGAACAAAAAACTACTAATATGTTTCAAAAATAGAACAAACATGGGTTAATTTATGTACTCTTATCTGTTCCTTTTTACATGTGTATAGTGTTTCCCTTCAATGTCAAAGAAATAAAGTTGTCTTGAATTATAAACACTGTTATATAAATTGCTGTTTTATATACAGCATAGTTGAGCTATTCCAGTGGTGTCAGAATATTTTTATCCACCCACCCCCCTATGGGACCACCTATGGTCAAGGCCCAGGCCACCATTACTAAAGATAGAAAAATGGCTTCTTGAAAAAACTAGATTTACAAATGAGATCTTTTAATCAAGTTTTGTATCTGGCATGCTTATATGAAGATTCAAGATATGACATCTTCAAATCAATGATTAATTGTAAAAAGGAGATATTTTCTAAAATTTTGGAAATCAAATTATCAGACTGTTTTTTTTTGTTTATTATAATTTATTTTTAAATGAATGACCTGTGCAAGCAAGGGAAAAGTTCTGCCATAAACTTTTCCATTACTTTGTGCCCATCTTTAAGCTATAAAAGAAGGAAATCGAGATAAGTAAATGACAGGGCAGAAGCAGCTACATAAAAATGTACAAGGTATATATAATGAAATCAACTTACCATAAACATTTGTTGGAACCATTTAAAAACTGAATCTCCATCCCAAGATAAAATTCGCGTTGATGTGAACTCACAGTTATATACAAAATAAGCTGCAAATCATATACCGAGAAAAAGTGTAAGAAATAGTGAATTTTTAAATAAGTCAAGGGGGATAATTGTAAAAAATATCGAAGTTGACTTGTATTTTGTGTTGAAATACCTGGACATGTAATTTTGATCTTATACATTCATTTTCCTAGAAAAGTTAGAGTGAGGAAATGGATTTTTTGTTCAAAGTTCAAGGGGTATTACTCTTGCAAAATTGATCAGACCATGACCAAATTCAAACTTGACATGCATATTCCTATGACATATTCATATAACAAATTTGAGTTGAATATGTATAACTGTTGAGGAGATAATCAACGGAAACTGAAGACTGAAAAGTTAAAGGGGCATAACTGTGGCAGAAATCATTGAACCGCGACCAAATTCAAACTTGAACTGCTTATTCCTAAGATGTATGTATATGTCAAATTTGTGTTGAATGTGTACAACCATTGGGGAGATAATAAATGGAAATTCAAATTTTTTTATTTATTTTTTTTTCAAGTTCAAGGGGGATAACTCTGTCAGCTATCACGAAAGCATGAGCAAATTGGAAATTGAGCAATGCATTGTTATGACATATCCATATCTTTAATTTGAGTTGATTATGTACAACTGTTGGGGAAAGAATGAATGGGAACTGAAAATTTCATATTATTTTGAAAGTGAAAGGGGCAAAACTTTGCCAAAAATCATTGAACCATGACCAAATTTGAACTTGACCTGCGCATTTCTTTGACACATCCATATGTGAAGTTTGAGTTGAATGTGTTGTACCCTTAGGGAGATAAAGAACGGAAACTGAAAATTTCATATTATTTTGAAAGTAAAAGGGGCAAAACTCTGCCAAAAATCATTGAACCATGACCAAATTCGAACTTGACCTGTATTTTCTCATGACATATCCATATGTGAAGTTTGAGTTGAATGTGTTGTACCGTTGGGGAGATAATGAACGGAAAGTGAAATTTCATATTATTTTCAAAGTAAAAGGGGCATAACTCTGCTAAAAATCATCAAACCATGACCAAATTCGAACTTGACCTGTATTTTCTCATGACATATCCATATGTCAAATTTGAGTTGAATGTGTGCAACCGTTCTTAAGATAATGAACGGAAACTGATGATGACGGAATGACAGAATGACGGAAGGACGGAAGGACGGAAGGACGGAATGACGGAACAGGGTAACACTATATGCCCCGGCCATTACATGGCGGGGGCATAATAAAAGACTTTGTAACATTCTAACACTTACTGTTCTGTAAATAATTTTACAAATAAGCCAGCCATATTGTTTTCAACTTTTCCTTAATCTTAGCTGAAACTGCTAAAAAAGACTCTTCTAATGTTTGCAGATGTTGTTTAGCATTTTACCTCAAAGCCCAGTACATATATTTTGTATTCAAGCTGTGCCACCTGTATTTTATTCAATGTCATGAACGCACATACAGGTTGCACCTTGATGGGTGTCATCAACAGCGCTTTGTTTGAAGTAAAAAAATCTTAAAACACTAGCTATGCTTTTGAAGCCTTTTGCTTTACTCACACAGTTAGGACAAGATACTTGACAGTTGACAGATCATAATGATGTATACTATCACGTTCTTTGACTTTTATTCAGAATATTCTTATAAATACAGGGATGTTAGGGATATATTAACATAGTCATTGGTGATATCTAATTGTATCCTTGGATGACCAGAATGACGCTACCGCTTTTATTAGAAATAATGTGCCTAACATGCAGGGGGGGATTTAGGCCTATAATTTTGACATCGTCTAGAACATGTTTTGTAGACGGATTTATGTCCTCCTTTTTGATGCATCTCTATATTTTGATCCGCAAATAAGTATCTATTTGTCTCACGGATTTATATAAACTCGTGAATGATTTACTGTTTTTTTTTATTTAATAAAGATCAATATACAGTGTATCCCATGTATTTTTTTAAATCTTCTACAAGAAAAGAAATCGCATTCTAACACAAAAAGACTTATCGTTTTTGTTTTTTTTTGTACTTTATTTAGTTAAGTAACCCCTCGGAAGAATTAATCACAACAAAATTACATAAAAATTGCACAGACTCGGTTTGATTGAGTCTGTACATGAGGGATAAGGAATACGTGCAACATCCCTCACGCCCTTAAACGTATTTAAATGTCCTTTTTGATCCTCCCCCATGCCGTTATTAAAGCTACTTCGACGAGGCATACACGGTATTCAGTTTATGCATAGGTTTTTTATAGTATATATATGGAATTTTTTTTAAATCGTTATTTCTTTGTTTTGGATAGAATTTCGGGGTCCTGTGATTTATCATCTTTATGCAGTCGTGTTTACATTGACAGGTGCGCGGGAAACCCGGAAACGTACTTTCGACTGTATGGTTACTGTTTATACGGTCGTACGACCGAAACTGGTCTTAGCTGCGACTGAGGGCGTACGACCGTGTTCATAAAACGGTCATGAGGAAATCGTAAGCTCGGTCGTAAGTATCGGTCGTAAGATAAGATCGCAGTTACGACCGTCTTTGTTGATAAAAAGGCACCTTGTATACACGTCTTAGTTGTGCCAGAAGGTGATAATCGGCCCTGGAATGAATAATGCCCTCGGGCTGAAGCCCTCGGGGCCATTATTCATTTTGCAGGCCGATTATCACCTTCCCTTATCTGCCGTGTATTAATCTCTTATTACGACTGGTCCGAAGCAGCCTTAAAGTTACGACGTTAATCTACAGATCTACGACGTCTTAGCTGCGACCATGTTGATAAAACGCGACGTAGCCGTAAGATCGATCGTACGACCAAATCTTAGCTACGACCGGGCGTACGACCGTTGATAAAACGGCACCCAGGGTTATTTTCGTGGCTAATGAAACAAGAAATGATGAAAGACACATATGCCCCCCCCCCTCCTGGCCCTTGACTTTCATTATTGGTAATTTTGTTATAGAAACTTGCCATAAATGGGTACATGGA